TTCAATACTTTTGATAATGTAATTCGACTACTGAATAAATGACAAACAGATAAAATGAAAATGATTCTAGAACACCACTTATCTTGACAGAAGCATCCTCTTATTAGATAATCATTCTGGAAAATCAGAAGACCATTAAGACATAGGAGATGATTTTCACATTATTATATATCTAAAGTTCACCACTGTGGAAGTGTGTAATTCCATATTAATCAGTTTATTAGATATATCACACAGTGAAACAGTATTATTTACTAAAAGACTTTTCAAACACAATTTACTGTTCATAATTATATCAGTTATAATCACACAACTTCTAAATGAAAGTCGGAAGTATTATCTATCAAACAGGAATATTTCCACTTGTGATATAATAAACAAATTAATATGGAATAATTTTAATATTTTGTAGTGAAGCTTAAATCTTTTCTTCAAGTATGTTATTTTGACTGTGTTATATTCAACATAGAAAAAGAGAAGACGTTCAGCGAAGAGACTCTTTTCAGCGAATTCATTCACATAGCTGTACAATCGCATTTATATATAATTGTTTGTGTGTGTACATGAGGTCTGTCAAGTTTAGATAATTAATTAGGTAATACAAGAATGATCTGATGTAGGAAAAAGGTTAATTCTTCGAAGCTGAACTACGATTAAACTTCTCCACAAAACCTGTGATTCGTATGAACGTGAAGGATAAGCTACTACTGCCTGCCTCATCAGTGTCTATCTACCAATTTACCTGCTCGTGTGGAACCAGGTATGTTTGCCGTACCCAGCGTTCGCTTTCCAAATGTATCACCGAACACTTACCGGCATGGTTTTACAAGGGGGAAAATCGCTGCCCCCGCACCTCCATCTTAGAACATCTGATGGATTTCGGACACCTAGCTACACCCTAAACAAACTTCAAAGTCGTCTACAGAATACTAAGCAGTCTTCCTAAAAGTGTACGAATCAAAGTTCTCCATACTGCGGAAGCAATGGCAATTCACTTGCTAAGTCCTCAAATTTGCATACAGAAGAAGTTCGTTCAATCACTGCACTTGCAATAGACGTAATCTAACTTAATACCCGACAGGTAAATTTTATTTCTTTATGTCTCTTCATTAGTATTATTTTGTCTTTTCAGTTGTAATATTTTGCATTTCCAACTTTCCTTTTCTCTATCCCCATCCGATTTAATTTCTACATCTCATTACCACTGTTACCTGCTGGACCAACGCTCAATTTCTCGTCACTTATCATTGATATAAGAATAAAACTTGTGCACTATGGTACAGTATAATTCCATTATGGGTAAAATTAATTTATTTTTATTAAATTTCTTATTTTATTTTATTTAAAATTAAAGTCCAACAGTGTTATACAGTAATATTTACTGAAGACGTTTTGAGTACAATTTATTGCTCATAATCTTAGTCATTTATGTTACGTTATTCAATTTATTTGCTCAGTTTTGGTCCTAATTTAAATGACATTATTCTCTACCCCACCACTACTTAGTCTCTACCTGTAATTGCCTTTTTTGCTATCCTGACCTAAGTTGAAACATTTTAGTCAATTATATTACGTCATTTAACTTACTAACTCAATCTTACATTATTATAAATTATTTAAATTAATCCCAGCGTGTTTAAGAAAAAATCCATACAATATTTTTTTGAACGTTTCGCTGTGTAAGCCACACCTTCCTTAGCAGAATTACAATCTTACTTTAGCTGCTGTCTAAATAACTTTGTTTTTATATTAGATCATTCTTGTATTACCTAATTAATTATCTAAACTTGACAAACCTCATGTACACACATACACACAAATAATTATATATAAATGCGTTTGTACAGCTATGTAAATGAATTCGTCGAAAAGAGTCTCTTCGCTGAACGTCTTCTCTTCTTCATACTCAACATAGTAGAATACCACCTGAGTGATCCCATAAGTAGGTTACATCCATATCAAGATTCTCGATGTGGTCATTTTATCCTCCCGTCTCTTGCTAAAAGGAAGCATTGCATTGGCCGTGCTCTTTTGCAGATTATTTACTTTAATGGGACTAGTCATTCGAAATCTAGGGAAATTCTTATGTTTGGATTACCTAGTTGACACCGATCTACTAGTTTGACGCATCCATTTGACCTTACACTCATAACATGGTGTCTGGTAAATTACAATATTTTTTCTAATTGGATCTATCGGGTCCTTAAGTTGATAAAATTTTATCCCTGAATGAGTTTGTTAGCTTGAATACTACTCTAATTCTAGCCTTATTAACAATCTTACGTTGGGTTTCTCGTGTGGCAGCACTGTCAAGGCTTCAAAAAATTTATTATTTATATTATCTCCACTATTTGCATTCTTATTCTTCGTACAGTATTGAATAAAATCTAGTTGGTAGTTATTCGCTATTCATGTTTTCTTTATTCATTACAGTTGATAGATTTTCGTCGCGAACTAACATCAGTTAGAGAGATCGTTCAAAACCTGGTAGCAGTGGACGATTGTCTCGTCCCGGCTTGGGACTCTTCGTCAGTATGCACCGACAACCTCAACAGGGATCGAACCTGAGGCCTTCAGGTTACGAGACCAAGTGCGTTAACCACTTAGTTACTTGGGCTGGAATTCAATAACCCCTGAGTTCTAGCTTTGTCAGCTTGTGATACAGCACTACCCACAGTGATGCCTTCTATGACATCGTGGACTCCACTGGTCATGACTTCCCAGCGCAGCTCCAGAAAATCCATCCGGGAGGTATCAAATTCCTAGATCGACTTTAATTATTTTAATCTCCTGACTCGCTAGTTTGCCCCCATGCGTCCATTACACAGACGTTTAACTAAATTCATGTTTACCGACTCTGACTGGAATGGTTTAAGTTTAAGTGCCTATTGGAATGTGAGGATATCCGGTAGATGTCAGTGTTTAGCCCATAATCTTGTTTTGACTAAACCGAAGTGTTCGGTCTCCGGTTGAAATATCGGCCCCTTGTGCAGATGCTTCGACAGTGTCTGGTCAGTCGATGGGAAAATCTAAACTGACGTAAATAATTAATAATAAATAATAATAATTGCACAACAGATGGCTCTCGTGGCCCATGTGGTTCAGTAATTTGCGCTTTCGCGTTTGAGACTATGGCCACAGGGTTCAAGCCTCGATGGGAACACCATCACTCACTGGGGAGTGCAGGTGCATCCAGATGACGAGTCCCAAATAGGACGACCAGCATCAACCAATTGACTTCAAGATACAACTGTGTAGTTTAATAATAGCCATCTGTTAAAGTTCAGTAATCAAATCTAAGTGAAAGTAACTGATTCAACATTCACTTTAATACACTTATGAACCTAACTGATAGAATCCAGTCTGCACCAAAGCAAGGTCTAGACACATCACACTAATTACTGACTAGTCTTCACTCAAAGTATCTAAAACAGTCCTACAGGATGTCAATCACGAGCCCGAATAGATCAGTGGTAACGTCTCTGACTGCAGACAGCACTGGGTGACGTGGGTCCGAATCTCAGAAGGCACATGAATTCCTTCAAGGTTACAGACACACCTTGCTGACTGCTGAGTGCCAACTAGCACGAAACCTCGGTGAAGCAAGGCTTCCTGTGGCCGATTACCTCCAACCATCTAGTATCAACAATTCAAAGTGCACCATGATGGCGAGCTACTTAGAATGGTGGCCACATTGCAAGTTTGAGTGATAGAATTCAGTCTGCACATCACACTAGTTACTAGTGTCCAATCAAAACATTTTTACTTACTGATTACTTTATTTATGATATTTACAACTGAAGGTTGTAAAAATTAGGAGACTGTTTTCTTTAAAAAAAAAACAGAAACATGTTTAACTGAACTGAAGTGACAGGAAAAAAAGTAAAACATTTTTAAAGAACGTAACTTAAGTTGTTTTACTCTAAAATATATTGTAACTTGTAAACTATGTAAAAGAATTTCTCAACTTTTTAAACACTCCTGTTATCAGAATGCTTAGAGTAGAGAAAAAAATGCATGCTGAAGAAAAGTGGTATTTTTTTTCATATCCAGTATAAATTTTTCTTCAATAGCTCAGTGAGACACTGGAAATAAAACACATGAAAGAAAAAATAATAACCAAAGTAGACGGTAGTGAACGAAACAGTCATTCTCTATTCTATAAATGGACATTTTTTATCATGAATAAAGTAGGTGGGAATACCACTTCGGGACATTCTCTGGATATTCGTCTATCAGAGAATAAGTTCAGGGTGAGATTAAATTAAATCCCACAAGCTTGGGATTGTAGAAATCTAACTGATATCAAGACAGATTTTATCGCTAACTGACATCATATGGTGATCAGTTGAAAGCCAGAGGGTACTGGACAAATAACTGCTTCCTTCAATTTTGTGACCCTTCAGCAATGCACATCAATGACCAAATCAGGGATAGAACTCGACACATTAGGTTGATGAAGTCAGCTCTCTGATCATTCGACAGATGTGTCCATCAGAAGAGTCTTAAAAAATAGAAAGGAACAGTAGTTGTCCAGTGCTCCCTGGTCTTCAGTGGATCCTTAATTTGTGTCATTTGGTAATTTGATCTAATTTTAATTGAATCCTTTTTTGGAAAGTATTAGGGAGTTTTTCACACTAGTGTTATGCGACTAAATTCTTCTGGCAAATTAATTCAGCATATTATTATATACATATATAATGATATAAGTGCATCGGTGGCACAGCAGCTAGGACGCTAGCCGACCATGCACATGATCCAGGATTCGATCCCCGGCCACTGACGCACTCCCTCACCTCGGTAAGCCAGTAATAAAGCTTGTAAAGAGGCAGGTTTGGGCATGAGGCTAGCAACCCAATCCTGTAAAAATAATCACCACTGCTACCGAAACTTCCAGCCTCTAGCTTGAAACCCTATGTTCCACTGGGAACGTAAAGAAATGTGAAAAATATATATATGTATAATGATATAAAGTAATAGTACAAAAATTAATGACTTACATGATTTGTCTTATTTACTGGCAACATAATCTCGAATACTTTTCCTGTTCGAATAAGAATTTCTACATTTTCACACATACATGTGAAAAGAAGCAGTGTATATATACAACACAAATGATACAATAAATGATACCTTAATAACACGTTGTGCATAACTATTCAACTTTAACAAGTTAATTATTATTATTATTATTATTATGAGTAATCATCACATTTATACTTGAGGATATTCCATATTGTAATTATATCATATACTTGTTTTAATATCCCATTAAATATACGTCTGGTTCCACAAACATCTCGATAATAATACGGTTCTTTATTTGATTTTTGAAAAAAGAAAATATTTATTCCTCAAATTAAGCATAGATCTGAAACTGATCAAGCTAGAAGTAACCTTGATCATTCAAATTTCAATGAGTTGTTTAAATACATATATATTCGAAATAAAATGGCGGGCATAATAACTTTGGAATTTTCGTAACCAGGATATGTTATATATACTGCTGTCAATGACGCTTAACCAACGCGCGCTGAACTCATATTCATATTTTATTATTTTCCATTTTTTTTTTCAATGTGTGTATATTTGTTTGCATGCAAAAATGATTAATTTACCGAATCAGTAACACATATTATGGTCAGTAGTTTCATTTGACGTAGGATTTCATTGACATACAGTAATAATAATAATAATAGTAATAATACAAGTGAATGAATGAATTAATACGTGCATTGGTAAGATTAGGGAATACAATTGCGAGTATTATTCCTTTCTCTTTGATACTCGTTTGACGCACACTGAAAACTTTGTAATATTATATATATATGAACACATATTATACACGGTATTCATATGCAGCAACAGAATAGACATTAAAGGAAGTATTATCTATCAGACAGAAATATTTCCACGTGTGTTTTGAGTAAGTTTGTTTATTTATTTATTTTATTTAACTATGAATTGTCATAAGGCGACTACTATTTAGTAGGATAGACATACCCTTTGGACTGATGATAATATGCTCATTCACTCACTCGCTCACTCACTTACTAACTCACTCATTTAGATATTATAATCATGCACACAAATATCCCATCATTGGGGCAGTAAGGTGAGTGTGTGTGTATGGGTGTGTGTGTGTGTTATGTGTGATTAGCGTTATACTATACTATAGAAAACTATCACTCAGTTGACAGTAGTGATAATAAGGGATGAAATACCCAGCAGCAACACACAAAAAAGAAGGGATTTGTATTACCCTTGATATTCTAAAAAGTATATTTGAGCGTGGATACACAGGTAGGGAAAAAGTATGCCGAATACATGAAGCAATCATAAGAGAAAAGTATTTGGAAATTGAATACACATTTCCTTTGGATAAAATAATTACATGCTCACTCTATAGTGTAATAAATAATATAATAAGTGATAATTGAGGGTGAGAAGGCAAATCAGGGTTGCAGTAGGATTCGAACAAGCGGTGTCTTAATTCTTAATCCCACTGTGCCATCAGGTGAACTACAAAACTCAAATAACAGCTAAGTTATCACTTCATGGCAATCATTATGGTTAAAAACCAACTTTAATGTGAAATGAATCATGAAATACAATATGCTTAAATTACATCTTTTGCCCTGCTAACTAATCTCTTGACAATCCTAATTATGGATTGATATCAGTCAGAGAACCACTGAAAACCAAGGAGTACTGCCAGGCAACTGTCTCATCTTAGTTTGGGAATTATCTGATGCTCACTAGTGACTTGCTACAGGATGGAGTTTCCTGGAGTTCTAGGGAGAAGTCGTGACCAGTGAGGTCCATAGAGTCAAGTGTGAGGATGGATGTCCCACCGATGACATTGGTTGGTGGTCGCGCTAAATGCCTCACGAATTGATAGAAGTTAGAATTCATGGACTGGTCATTCAGGAGTCAGATCCCGGTGGCTGAGTGGTATATGAGATTGCTTGCCTTTTAAGCGGAATGTCGTGGGTTCAAACCTCGTGTGGTGGGTGCATACTTCCGGTGATTCTCATAATAGGCTGTCTGTCAGTACTCCAGTGGTGGTTTTCAAAGGTTCTCTAGCTGATATCAATCTGTGATCAACTCGGAAAAAAAACTAATCCTTACAAACCAACTACAGAAAATTCTAATCATATTGAATTAGAATGAATTCTAATCTAAACGTAGTCATTCACTTTATTTGAAAATATCCCTATGGTGTTTTGCAACAGAAATTCTCTAGAAAATGAATTAGGATACATCCAAAATACACTGGTTCATTTGAGTTATCCTAGTAGATTCGCTAACAGACACATGAATACCGCGTATAGTAAAGAGAAACCGACAACAGTTAAAAAGAAATGGTTTCTCCCACAACTAAAATTCAGTGGGGATACGGCTAGTGAAGGGCTACATCTAAGATTATCTAGAGTCATAGAATGGACTTAAACTGCCGTCCCCCGTTGTTTGTTATTTTTTAGCCAAACCATTTTGATTGCTCAAGTGTAAGATAAGCTGCCTAGCTGTCAATTTTTCGTGCATTCATAAATTTACCTGTTCTTGTAAACAACTAGACAGCTCAACGGACGCATTAATGAGGATCTTCCTTTATGGTTCGAAAAAGGTCAAATAAAATCTTTAAGAAGCCGTGTTTGTCTCATTTGCTTGTTAGCGGTCACTAAGGGGACAGGAGAAGTACGTTATCTATCGCATTCCATCGAACCTTTCGAACCTACTTTTTGCACACACCCAAAGCTATGGGAAATGGAGGCAGCATATAAAAGATGTTTGTTCTGCCTTTTTCTCTCCTTTGGCCTAGATAAATTCTAATTAAAAATTTCCCACCCTTTCTTATTCTCCACTTCTTTCTTAATTTTATGATATTCATTTAAACTACGATTATCTGTCCACTTCACCTCGAGTATTACGCAACTTTTTAAGGTTTGACCTCATTTATTTATTGAATTGTCTACATATACACATACTATTACTTTTATTAGTGCGTTGGTGGTATAGCGGTTAGGACGCTCGCCGACCATGCACATGGGCCGGGGTTCAATCCCCGGCCGACGCATTCCTTTACCTCGTTAAGCCAGAAATAATGCTGGTGAAGAGGAAAGGTTGGGCATGAGGCTAGCAACTTCGTCCTGCAAAATAAACAATGCCACAGAAACTTCAAGCCACTAGCTTGAAGCCCTATGTCCTACTGGGGAACGTGAAGGAAACAAAAAGAAACTACTTTTATTATTCTTATCGCCACCTGCATAAGCTCCTTGTACTTTTGTTAACACTAACCTTATTATGATTATTTTTGCTATTATAAAACGGCGCTATTTAGAAAAACTACACATTCTGGGACATTCTTTGATTATCACTCAGCTCATCCACTCACGGCAAAACGACGATTAGTACAAGGTCTTGCAGACAGAAAACGTAGACTTACAACAACACCAAATGACCAAGGAAAAGAAATAAACATCCTATTTAGAGCGTTACTCGACAACAACTACTCAAAAGAATTTATCAGAGATAATATAAAAAAAGAAAACCAGAGAATGACAAGAAGCAGGAAGGCAAAAAAAATAATCACAATACCATATAAAAATGGTTCATCTGAGGCGATTCGTAGAAACCTCAAAAATATTGGGATTCGCATCACGTTAAAAATAAGATAAATCAACTTAAAGATCCAATAAAAAGAATGGATAAAAACAATGTAATTAACAAAATATCTTTTGCCGAGTGTCTGACTAAATATGCCGGTCACACGTCCAGATCACTCAAAATAAGAGTGAATGAACATAAACGTCTAACTAAAGGTCATCCCACAGGAACACAAGATTACAACTATTTAGAAAAAACATTCGTCTACAGCTGCACATGCAGCATGAGACAAAAACCACAATATTGATTGAAATAATGTTTTTATATCTGAAATCTAATATGAACAAATGGAGGAACTAATAACAGAATCTATATTCATTCAGGTCACGCCGGATACATGTAACAAAGATAATGCAAAACAACTGTTAACAACCTGGAATACAGTTCTGGACACACAAAAATGAATGGCATAACGGTCTTCGAGCTCGCCTTGTAACCAGGAGGTCCTGGATGCGAAACCCAGTGGGTGCGCACTGATGATGAATTCCAAACTAGGCTGACGAAACAGCTTCCGTTATACTTTCAGGTTTTCCAATGGTCCTCTAACCAATGTCAGTTCATAATGAAATCCTCAAAAAAAGAACTACACACATGAGTACAAATCATAAAAGTGTAAATTAAAAACAAAACAATCCCACCAATTGGTGTGATCACTAGCAGTAATTTTACTTGAAATATTACCAAACCAAAAACTTATCACTGTGTGTAAACCATTGAAGTATAATTATAATTTATTATAATCACCGTTATTACTGATGTTCAAAACATTTAACACATTATTATTGTTTGATCCACAAACTCACCGTCATTGGTTGAATATTTTATGTTTATGAAGCTATGTAAATTAAAGTAAAGCCTGAAGATCTAATTGAAAACAATTTTGTTTGCTTATGCGTCTTGTTCTAATAGAAACATCATTGCATATTCACCATAAGGCAGCATATCTCTGCTTCACAGACTGTACAAAATCACAAGAGCATAGAAATTACCACTTAGAATAAGTTTTCAAAATTTATTTTGTAGGGATTCTATTAATATCAGGTTAGACCATGGATTGGTATCAGTTAGAGAACCATTGAAAACTAGCCACATGGAGTACTGACAGACAGCTGTCTCGTCAGCCTAGTTTGGGAATCATTGGCAGTACGCACCCAACACAGGGGGCTCGAGCCCACGACCTTCCGGTTATAAGGCGAGCAATCTGGTATACCACCCAGTCACCGGGACCGGATTCCTCAATGGCCAGCCCATGAGTTCTAACTTCTGCCAATTCGTGATTTCAGCACAACTAGCACCAGCAGGAATTATTGGCGGAGAGTATTTGTCATCACTCCCGACAGGATGCACCCCACTCGTCACGACTTCTCACTAGGACTTCAGTCAACTTCGAATAAGCTAATCTCATGTGGAATTAGCAAATGTCTTTCCTAGTCTATAACCTCACCCAGTTTACCAGCTCGATAGTTTTCTAGCCGTTCCCAAGCCCGGGAAAAGAGGAAGGCGTTGAGCGTGGGGTTAGCGACCAAAATCTCGAAACTTATTGAATTTGGGTTATCTTTTAATAATTACATGTAAGATATAAAGAACATACCCCAAATCACAAATATTGATTGTACAC